CAGGATAAATTGCAAAGGGCTCAAGGAGAAAGCAAACTGCTATTTTGCTTTAAATGAAGATAGAGTTGCTTAAGAATGTTGATCAAAAACAAAAGACAAAAACGAAAACATATAAATATTTTGGTTTTACAACATTCTGAATACAATTTCATGAAGTTCGAGTGAATTTTTTGTCTCTATGGTGTTTATGAAATTCATGCATGTATACATACGAGTATCTGTGAAAATAAATTGTACTCTAATAAACATAGTTTTTTTTAATACATTTTTTTCGCTGAAATATCCCTTAAGGTATTCGACTACGTCCGGAGCCGTGATTTTAAAAAAGTGCATAAATGGATAATTTTCAAGATATTTAGAATCACTTAGATTAGAATACATGAATAAAATTGTTTTAAGGACATTTTGACAAAAAAAAAATTTAAATAGAATAATTCGGCAATAAATTAACTTAAAATAATTTTCTTTCATGAAAAATGCTTCTATTATAATAATATTTTGTCTGCATATGTCACAAACCGCTGTACAGAGGCTCATCTATGAATTCTGAAAAATTCACATTATTTTCAGAGTTACAACGCATTGAAATAATTTTCGGCGTTTTTTTCTTAAAATTTTTTCCCCTCTGTTGTCATAAAACATGGATAAACCTACTGCTAAGTTACATTTTTTCAAAAATTCTAGTTGAGCCTCTGTACAGAAGTCTGAGCTATATACAGGGAAAATATTATTATAATAGATTCATTTTTCACAAAAGGAGAATATTTGGAAAATGGGTCATTCTATGTTCTTTTTTTGTCAAAATAGTGTACTTAAATAATTGTTTATTGTGATAATATTCTTAAAACAATTTTATATACATTTTCTAATCTAAGTGAAACTAAATATCATAAATATTATCCATTTATATGCTTTTGCAAAATCACGTTTCCGAACGTATTCGGATACCTTAATACGAAATTCTTTTAACATGAAAAAAATATCTTAGCCACCCTCAGTTTCCTTCAAAATGGTTTTCACTCTAAGATGGTGCGACGTTGTATTATCTACTGATTCTGACAAAGCATGATATTAAATAACGGAAATTATCACGTGATTTTCAAAACCATGGGTTGGGAAAAATACACTGCTCAAAACAATTAAAGGATATTGTAAGTTTTATGTAAAATAAAGATATAAGCGAAATTTTTTTTTGCTGAAAATGAAAGAAGAGAATCACAAATGCAAATTTTTCTGATTTTCAGACTGTGGAGTATGCTAATTTTGAGTTCGACGTCAAAAACGTCGCTGCAGCGGTAGCGAATGAAATTTGACTTTCTACTGAAATGAAAACAAGGATGATCGGCATTCTGTGACTGCTTTGTTTCGATGAGTACGATGTCTCAGCAAAGTCATTTAACCGATTCAGAAGCTTGGATAGTTGTTGGTAGGTTAGAAGGGGGCCAAACTCAAGCCGAAGTAGCGCAAGCCATTGAAGTGTCACAAAGTGTGATTTCCATGATCTGGAACCGTTTTTTGGAGACTGGAAGTGCAGGCCGAAGACCAGGACAAGGTCGTAGACGGGCAACAATGCCCAATGAAGATCGTTATTTAGTGTTAACGGCTCAGAGACACCGAAATATGAACGCTACTCTTCTCCAACAACACATTCTCTCGGCTACTGGCGCCACGGTTTCAACTCAGACTGTCCGAAACCAGCTCCATGGTGTAGGTCCATATGCTCGCCGACCGATGGTACTTGTTAGACTAACATCAAGGCATCGTCGCGACCGCAGAGAGTGGGCAACAGAGCATGTGAACTAGGGGAGAAATGAATGGAGCAATGTTCTTTTTTCTGACGAGTACCGTTTTTCTGTTCATCCGGATAATAGACGTATTTGCATCTGGAGGGACCATGGTAGTAGGAATAATCCTGCGTTCGTGCACGAAAGTGTCAGATTTGGTGGTGGTGGAGTGTTGGTGTATGATGGCATCTCCATTGACGGGCGCACAGACCTCTACATCATTCGAGATGGACCTCTGACTGCTCGCCGATGTAGGGATGAGATCATCAGACCTATTGTAGTCCCTTACGCTGCAGCAATCGGAGATGACTTCATTTAAATGGACGATAACTGCAAGCCACATCGTGCTAACCTGGTGGAGAATTTCCTTTTCGAGGAAGGAATCATACGAATGGAATGTCCAACGTGTTCTCCAGACATGAATCCAATAGAGCACGTTTGGGACGCTCTAGAATGACGAGTTGTTGGCCGCCAACCACCCCCACAAGCTCTCCAAGAACTGGAAAGAACTCTTCTGGAAGAGTGGGGCAGAATACCCCAACTCATGATTAATAGACTCATTGACTCCATGCCTCAAAGGTGCTCAACTTTGCTGGCCATCCGTGGAAACCATACCCCGTACTGAAAATGATTTCCTTTGAAGAAAACACCTTTTCTTATTCTTTTTTTCTCATATGCACAAATTGTGTTTTTTTTTCCTTTTGTACACAAATGCGCAATAAAATGCATTTTTTTCTGCCAAACATGTATAATTTATTCTCATATAACCTACTACGTCTGTCGATCATGTATCAATCAGCTAAAAAGTTTCCCAGCCACAAGATCCACCTAAAACGGCAATATCCTTTAATTTTTTTGAGTAGTGTATAAAAGCTAAGATCTCCCGAACGCTAAGAATGCTTTTGTCCATTGTCTAAGCCCGTTCGTGCCATAAAATCTGGCGTATAACGCGCACATATACTTTCAAGCTGCAATTTTTAGTTTTCACGCATATTCGCCGTATAACGCGTGCCTTTTTTTTAATAAAGAACCTGAAATCTACATGTGCAATGTACGTTTTGAAGTCATTTACTCCAGGTATTAGCTCAAGTTTTTCTTTTTTAAATAGTATGCTTCTGCAACAACTCTAAGTTCATAAGGAATGCCATTTCTTTTAAAATATTATTTTGATGTATGTAGAAAAATAATTTTTCCCTAGGATGATTTCTTTTTTTTATTTTTAAAGCTTTCCATTTTTATACTGGGCGTATGACACGCACCCGTAAATTTCAGTCTTTTTTTTGTGTGTTAAAAGTGCGCGTTACACGCTTGATTTTACGGTATTTGTGTTGCCGCAATTCAGTTTGCCACTTTTTTGTGTTACTTAATACCTAATGGAACTACATTAACAAAATGGCTCATCTCATCCAATATGTTCTAGTTAAAAAGTCATAGTATATATAATATATGAGTTTTAAAGTATCCATTTTCCATAATCTCATCAAAATTATTAGATGAGGTGTGGCTATCTACATAAATATGTTTTCCTTTCCAATTAACTAATTCGGTTTGACTGATTTTTTTGAGGAAAATTAGTTTTATTTAAAATATCTAAAGCAGTGATTTCTAAAGCGGTCCCTTCGGACCGCCATGGGTTCCCGATATTATTCAGAAAGTTTGTGGAAAATTAAAAAAATATTTTGGTGTCCTTGAACAATGTTAGGAGTCTACTCGAAGTTTAATATAAAATAAAGAAAAATTTTGATCCATTTTTATTTTAATCAAAAATTAAATAAATTACATTAATTAACTTAGATATTCCCGACTGGATGTGAACCCTTTTGCGCGTGAACTAACTTAGATCCCAAGCACAAATGAATCTGACTGATTTTGTTGAGGAAAATTAGTTTTATTTAAAATATCTAAAGCAATGATTTCTATAGCGGTCCTTTCGGACCGCCATGGGTTCCCTATATTATTCAGAAAGTTTGTGGAAAATTAAAAGTTATTTTGGTGTCCTTGAGCAATGTCAGGAGTCTACTCAAAGTTTAATATAAAATAAAGAAAAATTTTGATTTATTTTTATTTTTATCGAAATTTAAATAAATTACATTAATTCACTTGAAATTCTGAATGAGAACAAAAATACACGAATAAGTTGAATGGTTGGCCTTTTCATCTATATTTAACAATTCAAAGTTGTTTTCAAAAATCAACACAGAAAGCAACGGCATAAAATATCTTTGATTAACCTATTACTACTTTTCCTTGTTAAGGTATCCTACTACGTTCGGAACCGTAATTTTGAAAAAGCGTAAGAAAGAATAATTGTTTTTGATATTTAGTGTCACTTAGATTAGAATATATACATGCATAAAATTTTTTTAACTCATTATTAAAATAAAAATATTATTTCAATGCCATAATTTGGCAAAAAATGAGCTTAGAATTACCTATTTTCAAAACATTATCCTTTTATAAAAAATGCTTCTACGATAATATTTTGCTTATATATAGCTGATCTTTCCCCAGAGATCCTGAACTATGATTTTTTTAAAAAATAATTATTTATTTTAAAAAATTCACATTACTGTAACAGTTACTATCAACTGAAATAATTATAGGTATTTTTTGTTTTCTAAAATCTGGATATTAAAAGATGGATATAAATCCACACTGCAAAGTTTTTTTTTTTTTTTTTCAAAAATACTAGTTCAGGCTCTGTACAGATTTTTGAGCTTTACATAGGCAACATATTATTATTATAGAAGTATTTTCCATTACAAGAGTATTTGGAAAAAGACGAATTCTATGTTTATTTTTTTCCAAAACATTGCATTTAAACCATTTTTTTTATTATAATAATAAACTTAAAACAATTTTACATGTGTATTTTAATCAAGTATCGCTAGATATTAAACACGCAATATAAAAGTTTTTTTTAAAAATTTAAAAAAACTTTTTAAAGTTAATTTCTACTTAGGTCAACAAAGCAAATTGTATTTTAATTACATTTTATTAGATAGTTACTATTAATATAAATATGTATATACATATGACAGAATTGCACTATTACGTGACGAAATAGAAAGCGATTTTCCTGGTCATTTTCTATTTCCCTGTCTATATAGGGCAATGGACTATTCTTTTGTTTGTTACTATTGATTCATTAATTAAATTTAATTATTCTGATAGAATAGTATAGTAAAAAATCAATCACATTCTCAGAAATTAGGCCATCCCAGGCGGGATTTGAACCCACCACCTTTGGATTAGAAGTCCAACGCGCCATCCTTTACACAACAGAGACACAAAGAACGATTTTCCTTTCTATATATGCTTTTGGACTATTATTATTTTTTTTACTATTTATTATTTTTTAGTTTAATTACTGAATTAATACTTCAAAAAATGTATTAACAATAAGTGTCATCCACTGCAAATTTTAAAAAAATTTATTTGAACTTGAATGGATGAATAAAAAAAAGTATTCTATTAACTATTGACAATTTGAACAAGATATATATATAGCAGAGAGTGAACTAACAATAGGAATTGAACAAATATCTGTTTGTACTCGCTTTTGCATAATCATAGCTTTGTACGTAGTCGGATACCTTAAGAATCAAAGCAGAATATAAGTAATTTTATACCATTTCCTTCCAAAAAGTCATCCATTCGCTTATGAGTTATCAAAAGAAACATAAAACTTTACACAACTTTTAATCCTCGGCTTCATTTTCTCAGCTTACCTTATTATTTGAAAGACTTTCAGCTTAGATAGGTTTTATGGTCAAAGTTGTGTACGATTTATCTCGAAATCATCGTTGACCCACGCTAAGACCTAAAGAATTAACTAAATCCCTCATTGGGTACCTCGGCTACCCGAGACGCGTTTTATGAAACCCTTTTTTATGATACATTTTGGGGACGTCTTTTGACTTTAAGTGGATTTTATGTGGAACTCTCATTTTCTATAGGAACTTATTGTTGATTTATGGTGAGCGTGTGGGAATCTTTACAGCGGAATAATCTTTTTCCCCCTAAAAGATATTAGGGAAAAATAGTCTGTGTTATATTATATAATCCTGGAAAATATTGTATTTTCCACTAATATTTAACATTATTTCATTTGACGTGTTTAGACATTATTATGAATAATCTGCATAGATTAAACGCATATTTTCTTTAAAAAAATAAGAAAGGTAATTCGGGGTAGATGCCAGTTTGTTAATAGCACTTTTGCGTCGATAGATAACAATACTGGGCCACTTATGTGAAGAGTCTGGTCCGGTATTAAGTATGGTTTGTGAATTTATCTGTATTAATCGTCTTTAATGGGTGTTATTATTGGATATCTGTGAGCATTTAAAGTGGCGAGTAAAACTTATCTAATATTCCGTTACTCATACTTAAAGTTTGTAAACGTACTTGTTGTTTTAAATAAGATATTATTAATATAAGGGAGTTACGCATTACGATGCATGCAGAGGCGTCCATTGCACTGTAACAAATAAGGAAATAAGCATGTGTAGCATTTCCCCTCTATAGTTGGGGGAAGACGCTACATGATTCAGAAGTAGATGAAATGAAGTTTAAAATTCCTTTTTTTTTAAAAAAAATTGTAACACTGTATACTACTGTGTAAAAAATATACAATTAATTACTATGCGGGAAAAGGCCTGACAAAAGCTAGAAAAGACGGGTAAATTCGAAACAAATAACAAGAAACCTTCGAAGAAACAAAAGAAAAAAGAGACCTGCTGTGTATAAAGCTGTTTATGCTGTGTATAAAGGGTACTTTTATGCTAAAAAGTGTGACTGGATTCAGTGCATCAAATGCAACAAATGGTTGCGCGAAGATTGCAATGATAATCATTTGCACAGAGTGAAATGTTGTGTAGGCTATCATTCGACCTGTATTGTTACTATTTTTAGCAAACTGATTATGAAAGAATTAATATTTTTTTTATTTTTCTATAGTTATTGTTATTTTATATTTAATTTTTGTAATGTTTGCTTTGTTTTTTTTATTTACTGCGGTGGTGTTGCATCTTGCCACATATATGGGGTAACATGCCTTAATTAAATGAACTTTCTTAACATTCTTCTTCTTTATAAGCGTAACAACCAGTTACAGGTCTTTGCTGTCTCCACAGCTCGCTTCCTCCAATTCCAACGATACGCAGCAACTCTGTGCCAGTTTTTAATATTTAGAGTTTTTAAGTCATTTTCAACATCATCTATCCACCTTGTTGATCATCTTCCTCTTGTTCGAGATCCCATAGGATTCTTAAATGTGTAAGCTCTGGTCTGGTTGTTTTCAGGACTTCTCCAGATGTGGCCGAGCCATCTCAATCTGTTACTTCGGATGACTTGAGTAACTAAAGGTTCTTTGTAAAGCCTATATAGCTCAAAATTATATCTAGTATGCCTACATCCTTGATCTTTAACAGGCCCAAATATAGTTCTCAGTGCTTTTCTTTCGAAAGTTTCCAGAGCTCGTATAGTCTCCAAATTCAGCGTCCAGGTTTCGCTAGCATACAGCAACATAGGCAAAATTAATGTCTTATATAATCTTAACTTTGTTTTTCCGCTGATACATTTCGATCTTAATTGCTTCTTTAGTCCGAAAAACATTTGTTAGCCGATTTTATACGGTTGTTTATTTCAGCTTATTGTGGTCATTAATAATGGTTCCGAGGTATTTGAACTCACTAACCCTTTCAAAAGAATGACCGTTTACACAAAAAGAGGTGTTGTTTACAGAAGAGGGCAGTGTTTCCATGAACTTTGTCTTATCCTTGTTGATAGTGAGGCCCATGTTTGTGGCTGAGATTTTAAGGGCTTGAAAAGCCTCTTTCACTGCTTTTTCAGAACTTCCAATTATGTCAATGTCGTCTGCGTAAGCCAGTAACTGTAGTGACCTATTCCACAGGGTGCCGCTTCGGTCCAAGCCACTGTCTCGGATACATTTCTCCAATACCAGATTGAGGAGCAAGCAGGCAAGCGAGTCTCCCTAGCGCAGGTCTATTTCTGTAGTGAAGGACTCAGACAGATATTTTTGTATTTTAATCCTTCAGCGTACATTTTTTAAAGTAACTTTTGTGAGATTGACAAGTTTTTTTGGGTATTTTAAACTCAGTCATTTCTTCAATCATCTTATCTTTATTTATGCTGTCATAAGCAGCTTTGAAGTCGACAAATAAATGAAATGTTTTGATGTTATACTCCTTAGTTTTCTCCAAGATTTGTCACAACGTAGGAATCTGGTCTATGGTAGATCTCTGTGGTCTAAAACCACATTGGTAGTTTCGATTACTTTGTCAGTATAAGGCTGAAGTCTTGCAAACAGCAAGTTGGAGAATATTTTATATGCCGTGTTAAGGAGAGTAATTCCCCTATAGTTACGACATTCAAGTTGGTCTCCTTTTTTAAAAATGGGCAGACAGAGCTTTCTTCCCATTAAATAGGAATTTTCTCAGTCTTCCATTTTTTAACCATAATTTTATGCATGGCATTAACAAGTTCTGGTTCATCAACCTTTAAAATCTTGGATGGAATGCTATCAGGTCCTGTTGATCTATTTTTTTTTAATTTTTTAATAGCAAGAGTTACTTCGGTGATGGAAGGTGGTGGGTTTTCCTCATCTGCTATGATGTCCTGTTCAGTATGGACATTCTGGAGTACAATAGGTTCATCTCTTCCCTCAAGCAGATCTTGAAAGTAGTCTTTCCACACTTAATTTACTTCATGTGGTTCACTAACGAGTTATCCCCTCTTATTTCTACAAGTTCTAGTTCTTGGCTTGAACTCACTTCTCATTCTATTAATTGATTTATGAAACTTTCGGCACTCATTTTGGCTGTTATAGTTTTCCAGGTTCTTTTTAATGAATTCTCGAAAAAGATTTCTTTTTTTCTTCTGAAAAGTTTTTTCTCTGCTTTTCTCAGTTTCCTATATTTCTCTTCATGAGTTCTTGTGCAGTGCTTTTGCAACAACTGTAAATATGCTTTATTCTTCATTTCTGTCGCTTTTCTGCAGTCCTCATCATACCATTCATTTCTGGCACGACGTTCTAGACCAGGCACAGTCTCATTTGCAGATTTCAAGATTATTTCCCTTACAAATCTCCGAATGAAATCGTTGCCTGATGAATCCAGTTCTGATATGATTCCCGCTGATAGCTTTAATTTATATTCTTTGAGAATATTTTTCTCCATTAGCTTAGAGGTGTCAGGTTTATATAGTTGCCGTTCTCCCTCTTTCGGAAAAAATTCTTGCACAATCTAAATCGGACTTTTGACCTGACGAGTATATGGTCAGTGTCAACTTTTGCGCCTCTGTAGCTTCTTACATCCATAATGTTGTTCTGATGTCTCCTATCTATAAGTACATGGTCAATCTGGTTGTGGGTTTGACCATCAGGGGATATCCATGTGTATTTGTGTATTTGCTTATGTGGAAAAGCTGTAATAATGATGAATAGGTTTTCTGATATAGCAAAATCCTAAAGTCTCTGTCCGTTTTCATTGGTTTCTTTGTGTAGGCTATGAAGGCCAGCATTGGAGCTAATAAAAAGTTCTCTCCCGATTTTAGCAGTAAAGTCTCCGATAACAAGTTTCATATCTTGAGCCAGGACATGAATTATAACTTTTCAGGAGTAAGTCATAGAAAAGATCCTTCTCTGTTTCGTCTTTATCATCAGTCGGTGCCCGGGCACAGATGAAGGTGGTATTGTAATGTCTTCCTCTCAGTCGGATTTTACACAGTCTCATGCTTATGGCCTGAAAGTAAATGACAGTATTTCTAAATCTTTTATTCACAATGAAACCTACACCAAAATGGTGGGCTTTCTCCGGACAGCTGTAGTACAGTATACAGCCTTTTTTATCCAGTATTCCAGTTCCCAGCCATCTAATTTCCTGAATAGCTAGAACATTAATGTGGTAGTCCACAAAAACATGAATTAAGTTTTGAAAGCTCCACCTTTATATAGGGTTCCTGTTCCAATACCCAAGTCCTTTTTCACACCGAGTCGTCTGGGTATATTAGAGCCGGTTTTAGCAATTTGTTGAGGTTTCGTAACAATAGTTTTTTTACGGGGTAGGGCTATTAACCCTGCGCCCAACTCTATTTTAGTTGCCTCTTACGACATGCATTGGGATACATTGGGAATATTCTTACCCCTTGGTTACCACATGACAACCTTTGAGGAACCCCGGTCACCACACGGGGTTTCTTAACATTAAATTTTTTATTTATTTACATACTAAGATGAGATTTAACTTGCATACATAACCAATTAAG